AAAAAAAAAGCAATTTTTTTTTGTCTCAGGACAAAAACTTGTGTATATGTGTATTAATCTCTATGAAATTGTACCACAAGGTTCCATACCACAAAAGGAAAATTGGGATTGTTTTTGGGGGTTCTTATCCTAACCGTTTAGGAATTAAGGGCCAAAAACGGGAATTTTTCTTGTTTCCGGACAATAACTTGTGTATAAGCGTATGGATCTCTATGAAATTGTCGTTCGAAGACACATTGGTTTTCACACTCTAACTTTAGTTTAAGTGAATGGATCTCTATGAAATTTTACCATAAGGTTCCATACCCCAAAAGGAAGGTTGGGATTGATATTGGGGGTTATTGTCCTAACTGTTTAGGAATTAGGGGTAAAAAATCTAGGATTTTCATGTTTCCAGACAATAACTTGAGTATAAGTCTATGGATCTCTATGAAATTGTACCACAAGGTCTCATACTATAAAAGGAAGGTTGGGGGTTATGGCCCTAATCTTTTTGGAAAAAGGGGCCAAAACAATACTTTTCTAATACTTTGTACAAATTACTTATTGCATGACCAATTTCAATGGGGTTTGATTAAAAGTCTTGAATTCTTGAGGTTCTTTAATATATTAAATCTAACCACGTATAAAAATTTATGGATTTTGGGTCCGTTTTAAAATTGGTCCTCATTAAGGTCTAAAAGGGTAAAACATTGAATCCAAGGGATTTTTTGATATGCTGAATTCAAACATGAAGTTTAGTTTTTTGATTTTGTGCCGAGTTTTCAAGTTGGTCCAAATCGGGGTCAAAAATGAACTTTGTGTGATTATAGAATATGAATTCAAAGGGTTCTTTGATATGCCGAATCTATCTGTGTATTTAGATTTTGGGCCCTGTTATCAAACTGGTCCACATTGAGGTCCAAATGGTCCAAAATTAAACTTTGTTTGATTTCATCAAAAATTGAACTATTGGGGTTCTTCGATATGCTGAATCTAACCATGTATTTAGATTTTGGATATTGGACCAGAATAGGTACATGTCCAAATTCAAATTTTTAAGTTCTTAGACAACATTCATTGTGTGTCAGAAACCTATGCTATGTTAAATATCTAATCACAATCCAAATTCAGAGCTGTATCGTACAAATTAATAGAAATTGTTAGTAGATCCATAGTTAAGAATAGATAAAGCATCAAATTCTAATTTTAGAAATTATGTATCAATATAATTTGAAATTTACTGTTCATTATTATATATTTTAAAATACATTTAAAGGTAAGTTTTATAGATTTTTTATAGACATTGTATTAATCATGAATGAAATTTTGGAAATTGTTTTTTTTCTGTGTTTTGTAAAAAAAATTAAACTTCGTGATAAGTTTATTTGTTATTCTGTTTTAATTAATTTTCAGAATGCTATATTTATTTTTTTTGATGAAGCGAACCCCTTTAAAAACTTAGCTGATATTGTCCATTGATACATAAATGAATAAATTAAATTCTTGGTATACTTGGATATGCTAAATTCTAACCGCGTATTTAGATTTTGGATATTGGACCATTATAGGTTAAAGTTCAATTTCGAATTTTTCAGTTCTTTGACCACATTCATTCTGTGTCAGAAACCTATACGGTGTCAAATATTTAATCACAATCCAAATTCAGAGCTGTATCAAGCTTGAATGTAGTGTCCATACTTTTCCCAACTGTTCATGGTGCGACCTCTGCTGTCGTATCAAGCTGCGCCCCGCGAAGCATTATATTTTATATTGTGTATCAGTTTTACGAGGTCAAGGTCAAGGTATGCAAAGTAGAAGGTTTGTGTGCACTTAAAACTTGTTTATCCCTACAACATGTTGTGCCTGCACAAAGTCAAGCTATTTGGACCATGTGTTTTTTGTTGTTTGAAATTCTGTTTTTGCATGACTCGGGAGTTGGTGGTTGGTGTGGTTTTGAGTATAGTCCAATTTTTTTTATGATTCCTGTAAGGGAGCTACCATTTGATTTTTATGGGGGGGGGGGGGGGGGGGGGGGAGCTAGGATGAAAAATTTTGTCCTGCCTTTTTATTTTTCCCTCTATTCGGTCCTGCTTTTTTATTGTTCACTCTATTCAGTCCTGCCTTTTTTTTAAAAGTTTATCCTGACTTTTTTTTACATAAATTGTCATCCTGCCTTTTTTTTTGCAAATAATCTCATCCTGCTTTTTTTTTTTGCTCAAAACTCCTGTCCTGCCTATTTTTTTCAAAAATCATCATTGGCAATCATACCACATCTCTTTATTTATATATCATTGAAAGTACTTAATCTATACAACACTGACATCAGCTGCTGAACTTCGTACATGCTTTCATATATTGATGCTTAGTTTTAAAAAGGTAAAGATCTAGATCTTGTCTCTTGAACCAGACCTGATCGTGATACTAATGTGTTATATCTATTGAACCATATTCTATACATATAATGTACCTCTACCTCTCCCTGTAAATCCAGTAATAATTTATCACAATTTTTCATTATTTTCCTAATCTGCATATTTGTAAAGATATTTTCAAATTCAATGATTTGTTATGGTGAAACCCAAAAATTATAGTTAGATAAAAAAATATTAAAAAAAATGGACGTGTTCAAATTCAATGGCATTACATAAAAAATTCTGTGGAATTTTCACTGAAACAACCCGAACTTTTATATGCAGATAAAAGATACTTACTTCCTTCCCAAACTTACAATATGTTTTTATGCCAAATCTGGACATTTTTTTTGGATCATAAATAAACTGGGTGCAAAATGTCATAAAGTATTAAATTTTAATTGAATTCAAGTCACTTGGTAGGGAAAATTTAATGATGTGAAGTGAACAGGAACAATGATCACTATGCATCCTGCTTCAATAAGATGTTTACTAAATCAAAGCATTGTTGATGCTGTAAGTCAGCTTATCTGACTTGATCATAAAATACAGCATATCCATACATGAATCAAAATCAGCAGTTCATAAAACTGATATTAATCATCCCTACATGCATTTTAGCTGTTGCACAGCAGCAGATTGCAATTAAGTATAAAGAAAATGTCAGTTTTTGATTTTTGACTTTCAGCATGTTCATAGTATATATTCCCTGTGTGTCTGTTTGAGGTTGACACATGATTACCAGTAAGTAAAACTGACAGATTTATACTCAGAAACAAAGTTTGAGGTTTGTACACTGTAAATTCAGAAATTAGTGCTTTTATCTAACAATGTTAAAATGTGAGTTTTATTCAAGTCCATTTAAAAAGAACTTCAAAGAATTTAAAAAGTTTTTTTTTCTAATCTTAAGGTCGCAATGACCTAGTTTTAGTATGTGACACATGACCTTCCCATAAAGCATGCACATACCAAATTTGGTCAACCTAGGTTCTACTTTAACATTATTATATCAGACACCAAACAGACAAGGTTTCACTATCACAGAGGTCAAATGTCAAAGTGAAGGTCACTTTGACCTGACTTTGGTATGTGACACACCCATTTCCCATCATTATCATCATACAAAGTCTGGTCAGTCTAAGTTCTACAGTACAACAGTTATACCTGGACAAGAATCAGACAAGGTTTTAGTATCATTATAGGTGTTTGAAGTCAACATGAAGGTCACTGTGACCTGATTTTGATTTCTGAGCACAGCCTTCAAATGACGAATCCACATACCAAGTTTGGTAAACCGATGTTCTATTGTACAAAAGTTATGCACCAAACATGATTCAGACAAAGTTTAACTATCATAAGGGTCAAAGTCTAGGTCAAAGTGACCTGGTTTTGGTATATGACAAACTGCTTTCCCACGATTCAACCACACACCAAGTTTGGGGTTACAGATGTTCTGAGGTGCAAAAATGATGCCAGGACACAAAGTGGGACAAATGGACAGACAGACAGAGGGATAAGGTGATTTCTTTATTCCCCCAGAACTTTGTTTTCCATGGTATAATGAGACTGAATTGTCTCCCCTTGTATAAAATGTGCAACACACAGCTTGTACTCCATTTCTTCCACAAGCAAATGATACTGATACATGTACAATACAAGTATAATAGCTAACATCTTCATCGTTTGGTCACTGGTGGATAGTTAGCTCATTGGCAATCGTACCACATCTTCTTATTTATTTATTATTAACAAACTGTTTAAAAAGAGTATATTTCTTCTTTACTTCAAATCATACAAAGAAGAGTAATATTTTATAAATTTTGATTTACATAAGAACTTTAGGCAAGTGTGCCATGTGTACTTAATTAAAATTGATTATACTGGCTTCATTTCAAATCAATTTGGTGCCCAATGATTAAAATGGTGTTTTATCACCTGGCCCAATTTGGTGGTGATCATGATCGATACATCTTACAAAGTCCATCCAAATCATTTTGCAAAGAATTCCGCTCAAACTGGTGCTAGGGGCTGTCTAAACTTGCAATGAGGAGAAAGTTTTTTTGGTTTTTTTTGCTCCATGTTGAAGGCCTCACTGTGACTTTTAGATGAAGAACAGCAATGAAAGCGCTGTTTTTTTGTGTGTTTTTTGCTGTGCATGTACTGATTTTGTGTCATGGATGGATACCCCATATTCTTTGTTTTTCTATTTTATCACGTTTTTACTTTCTGCAAGTATTTTAAACATCTATGGTTTACTTATGCGCATTTAATTCAGAATACTGTCCCATCTCAATATTTAGAGCTATAAAGGTGACATAGAGCAAAATTGGCTGGCTAAAAAATTGATGTAAATATTACTGAGACAATAAACATGATAAACAAACAGTCAATGAAAATAAATCAAAATGATCGAACTAGCAAAAAAATTGAAAAAAAACCCTATCTGCACATGTGGACATAAGACATCCGGACTAAGTTTTGTTCTTTTTCTGGGGATGGTTGTGACACAGATGAGCATCCACAGACACTGAATCCATGCTTGCTACAGTTGTTACTCTGACACTGTAGGTTTTTATTATTACTCATTAAAGACAGTATTTCTGCAGTAAAAATATAACTTTTAATCAAAATAACTGCTTCTAAGTGTCCTCATCATCGTCATTTTTTTCTCTTGACCTTATATTACGTTTGCCAAATTTTCTAGATTTAAAAACATTTTCGGTGGGATTTTTTTCTTGTTCTTCATCAACATCCTCCTTTATTTCAGTTTCATTTTCAGTCAGTTCTAATCTCTGTTTTATTTCAGAAGAACTTTGCTCATCCTTTTTTTCCTTTTCAGATGTTTTTTCGTTTTTGGCACGCTTAGAAAATGTGAACTGTCCTTTTGAACAAGCCATTGATTGAATATCTGCTTTTGTCTCAGTTATCTCCCCTTCTCTTTGTTTCCTTCTTTCTTCAAGGAAAGCATAAGCTGCCTGTTTATTGCTAGCTTCATTCATCACATCAACATCTTCTAGTGAATATTTCTTCCATTTTGCAGGTCCATCGTTAAAATCTGGCATTCGACTACCACGTTTAAATGGTCGTCTCGAATATGAACCCCTTGTGTGTCCCCTTCCAACGGGTCTTGGTTGCTTGAATGCAGGTTTTATTGTCTCTATTTCTTCCTTTGATGGTTCATCTTTTAAAAGATCTGATTCGTCTGAACTGTCTTTTCTCGCTTTTTCAAATGCTTTATGTTTATCTTCTAATGTTAGTAAGCAATCAAACACACCCTTAGCTTTGGTTTCAAATGAATCTGTGGATGACTTTATTGTATATGGATCCACTTCCTTTTGTGAACTTGACATGCTGATTCCAAAATGTCAGTCTGAAAAGAAAAGAAAATTCGAAATGATTAAGTCATGTCATACACTTTTTGTTTTGTTCATGCAAAGGTCATGATAGTGTAGATCATATCTGATCCAGGAATTTATGTTAGATCAAAGCAATTTAACCTGGGAATAGTATACTTCTTGCTGTGTTGAAGACCCATTGGTGGCCTTGGGCTGTTTTCTGCTCTTTGGTCTGGTTGTTGTCTCTTTGATGCATTCCCTGTTTCCATTTTCAATTTTAAAATGTAGTATACATGTATAATGTCCCAGGTTTTACATATATACATGTATGCAATAAACTGTAAACAATAAATTTGGAAAGTCTTTTTTTGAAATCTTCAACTTTTTCTTTACAATCTTAAAGGCTGATGGATACATGGTCTTCATATTTAGAACCTGATTTCAAAATCTATTGAAAATCCCATGTAGAAATTTAAATGCAGCTTTTTGCTAAGTAAAGTATGAAACATGGATATTGAACTACTCCAAAATTATTTACATTTTGTAATTTGTACAAGCATAATCTATTAAATAGTTGGCAGTGTTATTGAAGATTAATCTACATTCTTTATTTTTGCACTTTGAAGCATCCAAGAGTTTACACAAGTTGTGGTGTGCATCTTTAATGTATTTTTATATGTATATAGGTACATTTATGAAAAAAATAAATGTGGATTGTGTTCACATGTCCACATGTGGACACAGATGATGTCCCCGTTTGCATATCATATAGTTATAAGGGGACATAACTGAAGAACAGTAAAAGTGACGCTACCCAAATTTGAACTTGATCTGAGTTTTGTGGTAATAAGCATTGTGTGTAAGTCTCATAACATTTGGTTGAGGCTAACTTAAGTACAGAACAGAAACTAAAAATTCAGCAATTTTTCTATTTGTAAACACGCATAACTCTAGAACGATTGTGTATAAGTTTTATAACATTTGGTTGAGACAAACTAAAGTAAGAGAACGGAAACGAAAAATTCAGCAATTTTTATGTTTATAAAGGGACATAACTCAAGAATGGTAAAAGTGACGTCACCAAATTTCATACTTAATCTGTATTATGTAGTAATAAGCATTGTGTATAAGTTTCATAACATTTGCTTGAGACAAACTAAAGTTAGAGAACAGAAACCAACTTTGGGACGTATGGATGGACAGACGTACAGACGTACAAGGGTAAAACTTAATGCCCCCTCCACTACGGCGGGAGCATAAAAAACAGCAGATACCAACATTTGACCAAGATGACATTCAAAACTCATACGACTCATTGAGGGCGTCACACCAAAACCTCTTCCTCTTTTAACCAATGTGGGTTTTTCAAATAAACCAGTGCAGCATGACTTTCTTTCCAAAAATTCACTGGTCCAGGTAGGGTTCAAACCTGGGACCCCTTAACACTTTCTCACCCTACATACTCGCACCCCACAAGTTTGCACCATATTTTATACAAATGTAGGATGAATTTCAAGATGTTTTTTAGATGTATATATACAGTATATCAAAAATTTATATTTTTTCTTTTGTAATAGTCATGATAGTGGTTGGTTTAAACAATGTAGACTACCGGTCTTCTTTGGGTAGGACCAGCCTGTGTCGGTCTTAGGTTATGAGTCAGACAACAACAGTTTTGTGTTTGATCTGCACTAACTTACTGACTTACTTGAGGTATTTCTTCAGGTTGATATTTTTATTAATACTTCTTTTAAAAACTCCCATTATGTCTCATAAATTTGCTAGTCTTCAATATTTACATTATTCATTGTAAATTGTACTTTATAGCCTAGTCAATTTAGCTCTAAAATCACTCAACATCCAACTAATTGCAACACAAGGTTTTTTTAGTGCAAATTATAATATAGACTTGTACTAACAACATACTAAAACTATACATTAATATAATTTGCGGAAAAGGTTATTTTTGGGTGAAATATGTGGTTTTTAAAGAAAAAATGCTGAAAACTGGAAAAGAAGAAAAATTGTTATCTATGTTAACATTTTTAGACCTAAAGCTTGTTGAAGACAGGAAACCTTATCTTAATAGACTTTTATGTAGTCATCTAGTTATTATTATTCATAATGAAGTAATTTTGAGGTGAAATGAGTGATTTTTAGTGAAAAAACGTCGAAAACTGGAAATGTAGAAAATCTCAGTTGTTAATGGTTAATATTTTTGAAATTTGATCTATATAGAAAAAAGAACATACTATTTTATGTTTATTTTGTGAAGTCCTTTAGTTATCAATATTAATATTTGGGTAATTTTGGTTGAATATATGTTTTAAGACAGAAAACCAGAAAACTGGAAATGAAAAAATCTCAGTTATTGATGGTTAAAACTTTCGAATTGGGGTCTAAATAGAAAATACTATCTGATGTTTATCTTAAGAAGTCCTATAGTTATGAGTATTTAAAAAAATTTTAATTCTTGTGTAAAATGTGATTTGTAGAGAAAAATTGTGAAAAATAGAAATAAAAAGCTCGGTTATTCATGGTTAAAACTTTTAACATAGGATCTTTATAGACAGACTATATTATCTTATGTTTATATGCATATGTATTCCTCTTATTATCAACATCAATAATAATCAATTTGTTGTGTGAAATATTTTGTTTTACGAACTAATTACAAAACAAGAATGTGTCCATACTACATGGATACCCCACCCGCACTATCATTTTCTATGTTCAGTGGACCGTGAAATTTGGGTCAAAAGTCTAATTTGGCATTAAAATTAGAAAGACCATACCATAGGGAACATGTGTTCTAAGTTTCAAGTTGATTGGACTTCAACTTCATCTTTGTTTTATTTGGCTGATATTAAATCATTAATAAATTATTCTGTTTTCCAACTATATTCCGTGAACTTGGGAAACTCATTAATCCAGTAACACATGAATAAAAATTTTTGACTTTTTTTAATAAAATATATTTTTTTCGTGATTCATCATCATGATCATGTTCATGTGATTAGTTAATGAATTATTATTAAATTAATAATTATTTATATAATTATGATAACTATTAATTGGTATAAAAAACTTATTTGGTATTATTGCTATATGTGTTTGAAAATTATTATTGTTGTTATAGCTTACTTTGATGTAAATTAAAAACAAAGAAGATCTTAAATGAAAAACATGCAAGATAATTGTTTTGAACAACGTGGCCCCTTTTAGTTTGGTATCTTCCAACTTAAAAAGTCTTTCTTATACAAGTCTTGTGCATGGGTGGACTTGGCCTTTGATAGACATGACAATATTTGTTATCCGTTTTGTCAAAGTAATTTTCACAAAACACTCAATGAAACCTGTTTAAGTTTTAAGAATGTCATTCTTTTTTTAAAACAATAAACATGTAGCTTTATTTTAAAGTAACACACTAACTATTCCACAATTGAAAAACTATTCAACACAGAACCTTTTAAAAGGTAGTGAATGTGTAGGATGGGAGTGTGAAAAGGCGCAAACATGAAAAGGAGCAAGAGTGCTTTTGGGCAAGCAAACCTACTTTCGATCCGTTAATCCCCTATTCTACCTACTCAGTACTGATCTAAAGGAGAAGTTGTTCAATCCCCACTCTTCTTTACTAAACTGCCCAAGACATAAACATGAAAGAGAAGACATGCCAAGACAGATGCAAATACTGAACATCCCAACAGACATACGATCAATAGTGTCGCCACCAAAGACAAAAATGAAAGAGAGAAATCTATGTATGAAGCAACAGCTCAAATTGTAGTGGAATATATAGCAAGATCAGGGCAATTTCAAGAACTTGCAAGCCCTAAATCCCAATCCTTCGCCTAAACAAATATTCTTAGTACTGTGAGAAATTACCATGAGCAACGGTGTACCATAAGAGGGGAAAAAAAATAGTACAGTGAGACAAGTTGTGTCAACCTTAGGATCAGGATCTTTGAGCTCATTTTGTAGAGCTGAGACTTACGCATGTTACTGTGGCAGGAGTTCAGATTTAAGACTAAGAAATCAACTTGATAGGTCCGAGGCTACATGTAGATAGTAATTATAAAGACGTTCAAAGTATAATTTGGGATAGTTATCTAGCAGTCTAGCTGTTTATAGTTTATTTTTATCCATTATTATCACATGCAACCCTTCAAATTATTCATTTTTTTGCTTAAAACAAGTAGACAAAAAAAAACTTGCAGGAAGATGCTGTACTTTTTGCAGCATGTACAACAAACCTTTTAATAAAACTATTTTTTTGTTTTTCTTCGTTTTCTAAAATTATCTCCCTTTACTGGTTACGACTTTTTTAACTATGAAAAATAAATGATTTCAAAAATTAAAATCTAGGACGGTGTTATTTTAACTATCAAATATTTTCAATTTATCCATGGCTTGATTGATTTTAATTTTGTGTGTATTGAAATTAAAACCACGCTCATCGGGATGATAACCAAAAACCGTCAAGCACCGGAAGTTTACAAAATAGATGCCGGCTTGTTTTCTTTGTTTTAATCTCTTTAAACATTCATAAAAACTACGAAAATGAGTGGTGGAGTGTATGGTGGAGGTAAAAACTGTCTTTTTGATTAAGAACTCTAGGTCATCAAACATGCAAATGCCTCAACCAGTAAACCATTTCTTAAAGAAGCCTTTGGCTTTGGCATTGCTTTCATTTTATAATTTTTTTTGCTCTGACACCTCTAAGGGACCGGTCATTATTTATCTCCAGGGGGGGGGGGGGGGGGGGGTCATGAAAAAAATTGAATCTGATAGAGGGGGGGTCATTCTTTTTCAGGTTGATCTAGTAGGGGGGTCATGATTTTATTGGCCATAGATTCATTGATTGCCATATACAATGTACCATGACCATAGACTATACATGTATAGTCAGAGCTAACTTGTCTCCTAGTTTGACTCTTTCACAAATATCAAACTGTCACTATCAGTGATCTACCTAGAGCTAGTCACTTTACTCTTTGACTAATTTTATTGTCAAGTGACTAATGAATATTACCAAAAAATGTGCAAAAAAGTCACTTTTCTTATGTTTTTCCTAGCCATGATGTTTCAGAACTAAGAAACTAGGAATAGAGACTATAAAATTGGTTTCATAATCCTGGCTTCACCACAGCAAAAGTAGACTTTGCTTTTTGAAGGTGACACCATTTTTATTTTTCAAGATGAACTCATATATTTTACAAACTGTAATGTTTTATGTGTACAAAAAAATATTCTATAAAGACATTTTCAAAGCATTTTATTCTTATTTTTATTCCATATCTTAAATATACCTCATATAGATTTCCACTATAAATAAATATACATGTATGAATGATTTTTTTTACATGTACAGTGGATATGGGCCAGAACTTATTTTATAGGAAAAATTTTGCTATCAATTTTATCGGTGTGTAGGAAATTTCTTTTGAAGGCACACAAAACATAAAAGACATGGTCTACACAAACTGGTAGCTTGGTTAATTTCTGTCAATTTTAAGGATTTAATTAAAGAATACAAAAGCTAGAATTTTCTATTCGGACTAATTTCAGATCATTTGCAGATAGTCACTTTTAAAAGTTTATATAAATTTTCAAAACCACTTGGATTTTCATATCAATTGTATTTTGACCTTATAGAATACAAGGTTGTTTGATAGTTTGGTGTATTGCTGTCAAATTTATGGATTTTATTAATAAGTAAGAAAAAAAATCTAAAATTTTCAGTTTAGGCTAAATTCAGATAGTCACCTTTAAAAGTTTTTATAACTTTTTCAATTCAACTTGGATTTTCATAAAACTCTACACCTATCTCATTCATATATTGATCTTACAGAATGCCAGGTTGTTTGGGAGTTTAGTGTATTGCTGTCATTTTTATGGATTTAATAAATAGGTTAAAAAAAGCTTAAATTTTCAGTTTAGGTTAATCATGTTAATACCAGATAGTCATCTTTAAATTTTTTTATAACATTTTCAAATCAACTTGGATTTTCATATAACTCTACAGCTATCTCATTAACATACTGATCTTACAGAATGCCAGGTTGTTTGGTAGTTTGGTGTACATTTATTGCTGACAAATTTAGGGATTCAGTGGCGGATCCAGATATTTTCATAAGAGGGGGCCCGCTCCAGTCATGCTTCAGTGATTTCCTATATAAGCAACTAAATTTTTCCCACAAAAAGGGGGGCCCTGGCCCCCTGCCCCCCTAAATCCGCCTTTGGGATTTAATTAATAGGTAAAAAAAGCTGCATCAAAGTCAAAAACATGTCTGCCTAAATTGCTTTAAAAAGACCATAATTTCTTTCTTGAAAAGTAGAATAGATATTAAAAGGGACATTGTATATTTGAAATATAAGAATGCTCTATTATTAAGACAATAATTGGTATTTCAGCATATAGGAATATGTTTACTAGTCAAGAGTTATTGTCCCTTAATTTAAATTATTCCCTTTATTTTAAATTAATATGGTATTTTGAAAATTGTATACAAATTGGATAGTTAGTTAATATATTTTTGATTGTTAACAATAGTTTGAATAAATCTTTATGTCCTATGGTCACAAAAGGGGAAAAAAGTGGTGACCCTCAATTATTTAATAGAACAAAGAAGAGATACATAAACTGTTTCAAATTTAAGATGACCTCAGATTTCAGAAAAGTATAAACTAAGTACATTTAATAGTATGGTTAATATTTCTTCATATGTTTTATGACTTGCATGAATATTGTTAGCACTTCTTAAGCCTCTATGAAAGGCTGGCTGATATAGTTTGCTATTACTTATGTCTTGAGATTTAATTGTGATATTGTATATATCTGAGGCTGCACATATAAAATCAAATCTATACATGTATATTCATACTGGTTTTAAAATTAATAAAATGTATGTTTCTGATACACACATAAATATATATATATATATATGTGGAATTAACTAGCACATTTTGAATTTTGCATTAATACACCAAAGTCTATTCTTTGATTTCCAGACATAAACATGCAAATATTAAAATAGAAAAAGAACCTAAATCATTTTTGATTGTCTTTAAGTTTTAGAGGGGCAGGGACTCTTTTTATAGTTTTTTTTAGATGGGCAAGGACTTTTTTGCAGAATTTAAAAGGATGGGCATTAACTTTTTTAATGAAATAATATTAAGAATGCACCGGCCCATCCATCTGGTAAATATTGAACGGTCCCTTACATCAGTGTATTCTTCTATCAGATGTCGTCCTCAATGCATTCTATGTGTATGTGTATTAAAATACCTTACTAGGAATATTAGCAACATATAATAATTGAATCATTTGAAACCTTTCAATTATAATCAGAAAAGAGAGGGGGGGGGTCAAAAGTTTTTATGTAGTTGAAAGAGGGGGGGTTAAATTTTTTAACACATTTTGAAAAGGGGGGGGTCAATCATTTTTTATCATTTCAAATTTACATTTTGCCGGCCCCCCCTGGAGATAAATAATGACCAGTCCCTAAGCTAAAATTTTTTTCCTAGTTCATTCATCTTTATGCCATCTCACTCTACATCAATTTGTTATAATCATATGGTTAATATGAGGCAGGTGTTACCTGCGAAGTCAGCAAATCTTTATAATACTTTAAATTTTTAATAAAGTCTTTATGATTTCCTGTTAACAGCAGATTTATATTTATTGTATAAAAATTCCAAGCATAATTTCTGTTGAAAAAGTAATTGAATTAAGGAAATGTATCTGATGTTGATCCTAGTGTTAGGCATTTTATATACGACATCAATTTCAATGTAAACAAAGAAACGCTATCTTTAGTTACAGTGTAGTGGTTTTTCACTCAATTTAAAGTATAGTTTTGATAATTAAAAACAAATAATTTACACCTAAAGACAACCAATATACAAAGTCGGCTTATTACTGATCATTGTACAGACATAAAAATCTGCCTGATTGATCTGAGGTGAGTTTCCTAAGAGAACTTATTTTGTTGATTTTCTTACTTTTATTGTGGGATTATGTGCCCCATATTACACCTCTTTGCCAGAGAAGTTTCTAGAATAAAAGTTGTGTCGGCATTACTCTTTTATCTGGAGCAAAAAATTTCAAAACCTCTTTATACTGCATCATCTCACTTTCTGACTTTCTTGTTTGAATTAATATCTCCTAGAATATATGTTAGGCCAAATAAAAGAATATGTGTGGTCCTAGTTTGAACCCCCCAACCCTAGAACTTTTTTTTTCATTTCTGAAAAAATAATTTTTGATCGATCCCATGTTCATGATGTTCATGATGTTGTGGAATGTGAATTTCAATAATTAAATTCACAGACTTCTGTCATCTGAATTTCCATTAGAAGTATCCACTATGGCTAAAATGCAACAAATTGTCAACTGAATGCAACAAAATTAACTAAAAATGTAACATATCTGTTTATTTTACAACCAAACATATAGAAAATGGTGAACTTCCGGTAGGGACATGTATAATACCGGAATTCAACTCGGTGAACACATGATTTTTTTCAGATTTTGACAATCCCCCCAAAAAAAATTTTTAAAAAATTGCAGACCTACCGACCCTATTTTTCTTCCAGGATGTAATTGGAACCACACATATACTTTTAGTTGGCCTTACAACTATTATTCAAGTAGTTGGAGTTTGTGTTTATTCTTTAGTTTGCTTGGAAAACTTTATGAAAAAATTATATGTATATCATTATTTTAACTAATTTTCAGTGAGTCATTCTGGTGTCTTCTTTGTTTCACTTTTTAATGTTGGCATTCCTTTTTTTTTAACAAGGAACCACATGCTGAACACATGCACAACCTACATGTATTTCGCTAAATGTCATATTCAAGGTTGCATGAATACGGATTCAAATGAGGATGAATAATTGATTAGCAAGTCAATAAAAACATCAGCAATGTATTTTAACTTGTTTTTATGGAATTAAACCAAACTGACTGCTAATCATGCTAATAGCAACTACTAAGTGAAATAATAATTTTCTATATTCTGCCTTTTTGAATATTTAATACAAAAAGAAATCATATTTTAATTTCTGTCTAATTTGTAGCTTATGACCATACTTCAAAAATTACTTTTCTAATGTGATTGTTAAGATTCTGTGTCAAATTTTGTTAACAATTTAAATTTATAAATGTCATGATACAAATGTAACTTAGATAAGTGATCCTGAAATCACATGTTTTAAGTAATACAACTGTACCCCTGACTGACAGTATTAAAATTTTGGTTTATATTCAGCTAAATTTTCAAACATTTACATTTGTACATGAAATAACAATATACTCTTTTTGTTTTAGTAAATCCATATGAATATGAGTGTTCTGTGTGTATTTTTTCTCATTTTTAGGCAAAATAACCAAAATACTTATGGTATGTTTGGTATAAATAAAAAAATTTCATATTTATGAATTTGCTTTTGGAAAATGAAGAATTTAGGTAAACCTCACATGCAGTCGGTGATTAGTATAAAAGATAAACATATGAATATTAAATGAAGGAAATTAAAATGACCAATAGCCATGATACATGTAGCTGGCCATACAATGTACATCATTTGTTTACTATCAGTTGCTAGGTTGCTATCCACAGCATTCGCTGATGATATAATAACAAGGAATTATTGGAATCTGGAATAATTTTGAATTCTGGAAAATTGATAAGAAATGAATGATGAAAACTAACCTAATTTAGGAGGGTTAGCCATGCGTGCATGGCTAAGAGGGTTAGTTAGTTCATACTGAAATAAAGGGGAAAGTAAATTTAACCTGAGCCATGCATGCATGGGAAAACTAACCAAACTAAAAAATTATTCCTGACTTAAATAATTCCTTGTTTAATATACATATTTTCATGATTTTAAAAGACTGTAATTGATATTTATGATTGTGGCTGTCTGTTAAAGCTTTTAACTTTAAAGATGTACAAAGTATTAAGGGGGTAAGAACACCTAAGGGAGTTAACTTTTAAAAGTCAGCTGAACGTTTTAATCGAACACTATTAGTAAAGAGAAATCAAGCTTCTCTATGATCAAAATAATTAGTGTTTGTCAAACTGCTATATATCCAATGAAATTATTCCTGTAAATTGTGTGCTTCAAATTTCTTGAAATTTTTATATTTTTGTCAACAGGTCAAAGTAAATATTTTGTCAAAATTTTATGGAAATTAAACAAACCAAAATCTTTTTGTATTCAAAGTGTTGTGTACCCCCCTAAACAGAATATACAGGACATAAACATGATAAACAACATTTGTGTTTGTATAAATGTAAATGAAGTTATGTTTTTTTTTTCTTCTTCAGATGAGGTTGGAGCAGTGGTATTTGACATAGGATCCTATTCTATTAGAGCTGGATATGCTGGAGAAGACTCCCCAAAAGTAAGAACAATTATGCAAATAAGCCAGTCAAGTCTTTCATCAATAACAAAATTGGCTCATTCACCCACATGTATGTACACGTCACTACTCTTGGGTTTGTCAAAAGAACTTTCTACCTCAGTAGTCTTGTGGTAGCTTGTTCACCTCAAGTGCGGGTGTTCATAAATTCAAACCCGGCCCAGTTAAACCAAAGACCTTGGAATTGGTATTTGCTGCTTTGCTGCTAAGCACACAACATTAAGGAGGTAGAGCAAAGACAAGTTGACTCGGAGTCAGAATAATGTGTCCTGGTAGGGTGACATGTTTTTCTGTGGACTGTTCTTGTGAACCAACACATTAAAAATCGAGCTCAGTATGTTGCTTTAGTACAAAGCAAGGAATATTCATATTTTCAACCTGAATATGCATTTAATTTGCCGCTGGACAATATACAGCCATCCATCAGCGTCATCAAAGTTGGAACAATATTTCATGTGGTACGAAAAATGTACATTTGTATGTATGTTGATTCTTTGACATGTACCCAATAGCACGTTTTTGTTTGTGATTGAATATTTTATTAAGTACATGGCATTACAAGTTGAAAATAAATGGCAAATTTATTATGCATGTCCACATTTTTCTTTGAAAAAAAAGTTATGGACAAGAGGTATAGATATATTTTGCAGCTTCAGTTAATGTTTTATGGTGTTTATAACTGGCATATCAATGCATATGAACCCATTTACTTCATAACTTTAAAAAAAAATAGACGTTTGTAATGAAATCATGATACAGCTGTACCTTTTGCTTATAGTATTTATTGCCACACACCTGAAAAGTATTTTGTTATGACAGAACTTATTTCATTCTAGGCAGAAATTCCCACACACATGTCAGTTGTTGATGACCCAGATGTTGCCATGGAAACAGATGATACAGAAAAGAGTATTAAAGGTCCTAGCAAAAAATATTACATTGACACAGGTGCCATCAAAGTACCGAGAAAGGGAGCAGAAATATCCACATTTATTAAAGATGGCATGAGTAAGTGGTGGATGAAACTTTCTTTCAAAATGACATACTGTGGATTCATTTATTTTTGTGGAAACCAATTTTCGTGGATTGAGGGAAAATTGTTGTTTTGTGGATATTTGATTTCATAGTTTTGTCAAATCTGCATATATGCGATAAGTGAGTCTCATTGGAGTCTTAGCATGATGCGGGATTGACTGATTTTTTATACGACAGCAAAAAATTTTTTGGTGGTCGTATATTGGTATGAAGTTGGCGTCTTGTCGTCGTCGTTGTCGTCATCATCGTCCGAAGACACATTAGTTCTCGCACTCTAACTTTAGTTTAAGTGAATGGATCTCAATGAAATTTTACCATAAGGTTCAATACGACAAAAGGAAGGTGGGGATTGATTTTGGGGGTTATGGTACCCACAGTTAAGGAATTAGGGGCCAAACAGGGGCCAAAAATAAGCATTTTTGTAACTTCCAGACATAACTTGTGTGTAAGTGTATGGATCTCTCTGACATTGTACCACAAGGTTCCATATCACAAAGGGAATGCTGGGATTGAATTTGGGGGTAATTGCCTCCAAATTTTAGGAATTAGGGGCCAAAAAGGGGCAAAAAACAAGCATTTTCTAGTTTCATGACAATAACTTGTGTGTAAGTGTATGGATCTCTCTGACATTATATCACAAGGATCCATATCACAAAGGGAATGCTGGAATAGAGTTTGGGGGTAATTGCCCAAAAAGTTAAGGAATAAGGGGCCAAAAATAAGCATTTTTCTAGTTTCCAGACAATAACTTGTGTTCAAATGTATGGATCTCTCTGAAATTGTACTGCAAGGTACCATACCACAAAGGGAAGGCTGGGATTGATTTTGGGGGTAATTCCCTAGAAATTTTAGTAATTAGGGGCCATAAAAGGGCAAAAAAACAAGCATTTTTCTAGTTTCAGGACAATAACTTGTGTGTAAGTGTATGGATCTTTATGAAATTGTACTGCAAGGTTCCATATTACAAAGGGAAAGCTGGGTTTGAGTTTGGGGGTAATTGCCCTAAACGTTTAGGAATTTGGGGCCAAAAAACAAGCATTTTTCTAGTTTCCAGACAATAACTTGTGTTCAAGTGTATGGATCTCTGTGAAATTGTACTGCAAGGTACCATACCACAAAGGGAAAGCTGGGATTGAGTTTGGGGGTGATGAATCATAAGGGGGTTCAAAAAATCGGAGGGGATTTTTTTTTCCTTTTTTTTCTTTAAAATTTTCCATTTTAAATTGGCTATTTCTGATTTATATATAAAAGCAAATAATAATGATATGGTTTGAATAGGTAAATTTAAATTTTTTAAGTTCTTAGACCACTTTCATTCTGTGTGAGAAACCTATGCTGGGTCAAATATTTAATTACAATCCAAATTCAGTGCTGTATCAAGCTTGAATGTTGTGTCAATACTTGCCCCAACTGTTCAGGGTTCAACCTCTGCGGTCGTATCAAGCTGCGCCCCAGCGGAGCATTTTATTTAAATTGTGTCACTTGAAAGTCACATTATTTTGCGTGAATACTGGAAACGAAGTTGGGCTGGACACATGAAATTACAAGCTCTATTATTACAATGATAAGGGGGATACAGGATTCTTACTAAACAATTATAAGTTGGGATCCGGGATCTGAACCCCCCCCCCAATGAGACCCCCTATAAAGAAAATTTGTACTTTGTTGAACCTTTAAATTTGTTGTTAGCCTTTATCCATGAAATCCACTAAAAATTGGTATCCACAATGAATCCACAAACATCTTTATTCGGATGACAATATTTTTTTCCCTGCTTAGAAAAGCATAATCACTTTGATTTTAGTTTGTAGGGAGGTACTTTTTCATCATGATCTATGAATACCATTTTAAAAGAATTCTAAATTTCATGTAGTAAAGTTTGAAGGGTAAAAATACAGGGAACTGCCTGGAGATGCATGTCAAGATGAACAAAAACAATATGAATAAGATAAAAACAAAGATAAACTGAAATATGGCAATTAGTTAAACACTAAAAATAAGAAGATGTGGTATGATTGCCAATGAGACAACTCTCCACCAGAGACCAAATGACATAGAAGTTACCAACTATAGGTTACCTTATGGCCGGTTTAAATTGTTTTCCATTTTGTCATGGTGAGGCTTTTTACAGGTAACTATCAGTTTTGGGTTTTGCTCTCTTTAGAAGGCTGTACGGTGACCTATAGTTGCCTACATCCACATCCTGTTGTATCATGTGGATAATTGTCTCAATGACAATCATATCTCATTTCCTTAAAATCATAATGCTAAATTAAATCCAAATATTATCTCATTGTATGTTGTATACAATTATTTTATTACAGTTGATAATTGGGACATGTATGAAGAATTGATGGATCATATCTACAACAAATCTATAAAATCAGAATCTAATCTACATCCTGTTATGATGTCAGAACCAGCCGTATGTATATTCATATTTTATTACATGTAGGCACTACCCCGTTAGTTATTTTGTATGGGCTTCCTGATTATTATTTATTTTAACTGCCTAAGTGGTCTAATGGTAGCCAGTTTGCCATGAGTTCAATCTCAAGCCACGTCACACAATAATTGAAAATTTGTATTTTCTGCTTCTTTGCTCTGAAAGAAGCATTTAGGAGTAGGAGCAAAGATTGGTCAGCATAAAGAGTCTTGGTTCAGTGACTTGATTTCCTGGAGACTTTTGCCTTGTGAGTAATCACAGTCTTCACGCTTAACCACAAGTCATACGGCCATGGCTTGTAAAATTGCTCAGGGGCTTGTAAAATTCTTCTCTACAAGCCAACAGAAACCAACTAAAGTTTTCTTAAAATTGAGCCCTGGGCTTGTGGACTCGAAAGTTTATCGTGAAGGCTGTAATCACATTAAAAATCAGACTCTGTTTAATGCAAAAGCAGGGTTCATATTCATACTACATTTATTTGTTCTTGTCCTAAATTTGAATTTAATTTGCCACTGGACGTTAAACAGCCATTCATCATCATCCTTTGTTATTTAAAAGTTATCAAGGGCAACATTTTTTTGTCCACAAATATTTGTAATCTCTCATAAAAAATGTTTGTTTCACTTAGAATCATTTGAAAGAACTTAAGAATTACAGGGTAAGGAGTAGGGGTATTAAGGCCCAGTTTTGGTCCAAACATTTTTTTTTTTTTGAAAACTATTTAAAATTTGAACATGATTTTTGGAAATGTGATGTGATATCAAACTTTTTTGAGTTATGATTTAACAAAGAAATTAACAAAGAAAGTTTTATTAACCAAATTCAGGCTTTTGAAATTAGTTAATTGGCATTTGGTCAATCTGATGAATGAATCTTGACATGGAATTCAATTTCAGAACATTTATTCTGCTCTTCAGAGAGTAGCTAGATATTTTTCAGATGTGCTTTAAAAAAAAATATCTTGTTGTCAGGAACCATGACAACAATAGACTATTTTTATGTTACCGAATTTTGACTCTGCTTTATATAATAAAATTAAATATGTAATCGTGCAATTGGGGGGAAAGTTTACTGTTTTCTGATGGTTTTGCCCTGTATAGAAACATATAACAGTTTAATAATTTTCCCCCAAAATTGTACCAATTGAAAGCTTGTTTTTACTTCTTTACTTTGCTCTTACTTGACAGAGCACCAGGATTTCTTACCACAGAGAAGGTAACCTGTAGAAAAAATATAAATTCAAGTGTCAAAAGTTGGTAATATGAAAAAAGTCTATTAGGTCATTATATTTGGTACCCGTTAATGAGACCGCAACCGACACCTTAAAACACCATACAAACAAATTGCAGATAATTTTTCCTTGTCTTCTAATATATTTGAAAATTGAAATTTCCCATTGTCATATGCTCAATAATAGTTGAGAGACTTAAATTTGACTTAATCTTTTTCAGTGGAATGTTAAAGGAAAAAGAGAAAAGTTGGCAGAAATCATGTTTGAGAAGTACAATGTTCCAGCTTTCTTCCTCTGTAAAAATGCAGTACTAACAGCGTATCCTTCATAGAAAATTAGTTGTAGATTTGTAGTGTGGACAGTTAAAGTATATAATTTGAAACAGTTAAACATTCATTTCTTTCGGTTTCATTTACTTTGAAAAATCCTGAAACATTTTTCTTGCCAAAATAAATGAATCTACATTTTCTATTGTAAAGACCTCATTCCTGTAAATGCTGTTATTTGAAGTCTCAGGTGAAAACATTCTAAGTGATACAATAAGTTTTGAGCATCAGGAATATTTTTCAAATACTGAAACTGCATAAACAACTTTGATATGTTACATTTTAAAGTTGTAGATTAGATGTTATCGTAATAAAAAAAAAACATAATGACGAAAATTGACTTTTTTTCCAGTCTTTGCGCATAAACCACAGGCCCACTAGCCCAGGCTTGTAAAACTTCTGTCGGGCCTGTAAAAATCATCTCCACAGGCCAATATAATCTAACTGAAATTTTTCGAAAATTCAGCCTTGGCCTTTAGATTCAAAAGTCTATTGTGAAGACTGTTTACAAGCTCATACACTGCATTTATATTATGCTAGAGTGTGAAGAAAGAAAAACAGTTTTAATCCATTAAAAAAATATTTTTTTTTAGCAATTCTATCTTTATACTGATAGACTGTCCAAACCAACAAGAACTGTTCAAAGGGAAATAACTGCAGTTTTACAATTCCTACATTGTATATATTCAATATGTTTTTTTTACATTACCTGTTTTTGCATTCAGAGATTCATAAATAATATCTGTTTTGCATTTCCTATCTTACATTAAATAAAATAAATTTCGAGGTGTTCTAAAAGAAAGAGTTTCTCAGTGAATTATTTTTTTCTATGTTAAAAAAACCTTCTGGAAAACTGTTGATCAATTTAAATTCAGTTTGATCACAATTAAGACATTATAGTTAAAGACGACTGTATTATCAATCCTTAACTCTATACAAGATTTGCTAATGGAAGGTCTACAGGACTTGTATTAGACAGTGGTGCCACACACACATCGGCTGTACCTGTATATGATGGCTATGTAATACAACAAGGTAAATGTTTTACTTTCACCAGTGTTTGAAAGAAATTATAATACTGTGGATTCATTAGGGAGCTACCATTTGATTTTTAGCGTGGGGGGTGCTAGGATGAAATTTGAAGGATGAGCAACTTGGCAAAAAAAAAAGGCAGGATTACAATTTATGTTAAAAAAGTCAGGATAAACTAATAAAAAAAAAGGCAGGACTGAATAGAGTTAAAAATAAAAGGGCGGGACAGAGATTACAACTAAAAAAAAAGGCAGGACAAAATTTTTCATCCTATTCTCAGAATGCTTGTTTACTAAGTTCTTCGCGATTGTTTGCCATGGATCCTTGCAAACAGTTTACCTTTAAGCAATAAAAATTGACCGCCACAAAACGTCACCTATTTGCAGACAGTATATAACCAAATTACACAGAACAGACTGCTGATCTTTTAACAAAAAAACATTCAGATGTGACATACGTCAAAAATTACTCTTAAATAGATGGTTTAAATATATAGATAGCAAAAGCACAAATAAAAAATAATTTCTACTGAATTAGAGAGTACTTGTTTGAAAATTGTTACATTTATGTTTAATGACCTATTTCTACATTACAGCTATCGTTAAGTCACCTTTAGCTGGAGATTTCATCTCCATGGAAATTAAAAAGTTAATGGAAGAATTAGAAATAGACGTTGTCCCCCCTTATCAGATCAAAACAAAAGTAAGTATATGGTTTAACTTGTATTTTGCAATGATGAAAATTGGTCATACGATTTTATAAACATTCTTTTTCAAGACCTCAAATTTATTGTTCAGTATGGTTGCATGGTTAAAACTTATCAATTTATGGATAATTTTAAATTCCATTATTCTTGTAATAAAAAGCAACTTTTTAGCACACCTAACATGAAGAGGAAATCTGACACAAGAACTTGAAGAAAAAATGTTCAGAATTTTGATATCTACTGACTGTCCATGTCAGACAACTTAAAAGGAGTTAATGCCCTTATATGACATATTTTACCTTTTATTAATTTTGCCGATTATCTTTATAACTATAAAGAATACAGATAAATGTTAAATAACAAAAATGACCAGCAAGACATTATCTACAAAAAGGTCAACATTTCCTAAATCATCAGTCGACTCCTTATTGGAATCAATGTCCTTTAATGACTATTTTTACCTTTTTCTCAGTTGTTACCTATTATCTGAAAAACTATGATAAATAGATAGAAACTTTGATCATCAGGACAAGATTTATAAATATGTCAACATTGCTGAAATTGTTAGTCGACTCATTACCCTTTTTCATTCTGGGCAAAAATTATAGAAGATAGAGAGAAACTGTAGACTGTAAAATGATCAGCAAGACATAATCAATAAAAGAGAGATTGTAGTCACAAATTCTATTCTTGTCTGTTACAGTGTTTATGATAGTGTGTTTTCTCTTTCAGGAACCAGTTGGTTTTATGGAGGAAGCAAAGTGGAAGAAGAAAGATATACCAGAAGTTACTAAGTCTTATCAGAATTATATGGTCAAGGTAAATCATTAACATTCAATAATGGCAGAGTGTAGGGATGTATTTTCAGATTGTTGGGCATAGTTTCAGTTTGGGCAATTTAGGAGGGGGGGATGAACAGGAGGCTTTTACCTTTTTTCAGGTATAGAAATAACTAATTCTACAACTAACAGATGATAATAGTAGTGCATGAGAAACATTGCAATTTATAAATAATTTTTTTTATCCAGAATGGGAGATAACTCTTGTCATAGTTTTTTAGAATAGAGTTAAGAAAGAGATTTTGTGGGTATACTTTAACCTAATTATAAAATTTAAAATATAAAAAGATATAAGAATTAAGATAAAATTTAAATTTTTAACTAAAATTAAATTTTATAAAAAGGTGTGTATGCAGATTGGTTTGGGACATGAAATCATGTTTCAATGAAATACAATTTTCCTAAATTCAGGAAATTTGGTGAAAGTGCAGTATCAGTGTTCTCCCCAGGCCGATATGACGCTGCGGTGCCGCAGCGCCTTCATAATATTTTTGCAGATCCCGCAGCGTCTTAATTGGCCGCTGTCCCTTAATACTTGATCCCGCAGCGTGTTAATTTTCACATTTTCATTATAAATGTTGGTTAAAATTGTCAAGTTACTGATCACCGCTGATGGGTCGGTCAGTGTTACGCAATAACTGATAATTAGTTTTACCTGAGCCACGCTTATCTCAGCCTTATCGGACTATGTTATCAGGTAATAGCGTAAATGATCATCAAGAAGATAGATATTTTTTGAAGAAAAATTAAAAATTTTAAAAACTTCAGTGCAGAAATTGAAGAAATAGATCGCAAATACATTGTATTTACGCATCGTGTGTGTGTTCACTTGACCATTTATATAACGAATTTTTTCATTGGTCGAGAAGAAGAATCTATTTAAACTCGACCAATGAACGTGTTGAATACACATAATAAATTTGAATACGATTGCTAAAGATATTTACGATGAAAACTATGAATGAAAGTATTAGTAGTTGAAAAAATTAAAATTAAGTTTGATTAAAGATAACGAGGAGTGATTTACTTTAATAGAAAGTGAAAAAATGTTGCTTGCAAGGTAAATTCGTCTGAAACTGTCATATTTTTAGAAATAAAATGATTATTGAACATCGATCGTGATTTCGTGCGTCGGGAAATATGTGACAATCAACATGGGTACAGAATCGCCGCAGCTTCTGTATAATGTCACTGGTAAATAATTTCGAATAATTAACGAGTTTGTAAAGTTTCGTTTATATCTATCTGCCAAAGATAGGATTAAACAATAATACGCACGGAAGCGTAATGTGAATCTACGGAAACTGGTCAGCTGTTCATCAGGATCAGGATTTATAAAAAAATAATTGTTTTAAAAAGTTGTATACCAAATATCTTAACCATATTCGATTTTATTAATTCTGAATGAACATGTTCTCTGCAAATAACAAAGGGGTGAATTATAAGCAAAAGGTAGATGATGGAAGTAGAAGTTTTTTTCAGACCAATGACTTCTAATGAAAAGGGGAATACACCTCCATCTACACTGTCAGTATAAGCAGATTTCATTGCTTCTCCTAATCCCAACCAAGCTCAAGTTTTAGCAATTGATAAAAGCAAGCACCATGTTTCTGGTTTCAATGACAATTGGCTGACAGTTTTCATGGCTTAGAAATGTTAAAGGGGGTATAAGCAAAAGTTATTGTGAGAGGGAGGTTTAATTTTTAACCCTGAAGAGGATAAAGACAAAGTTGAGGAACAGACTGTCCAACAAAATAACACTATCTTGAAACAATATCCCTAGAAGGAGCAGAGAGTAGAGATGAATATTTATATTTTGACTTCTTTAATTGACTGAATATGAATAACTTTTGTGTTTAAAATCAATTTATTTCATATATATATTCTTGTAATTCATTAATACTCTGCATTATTAAACACATAACACAAAGCATTATAATTCATATTGCATGTCATGATTTATGACTTATTGCTTCAGATCACAAACGTTCACTCTAAAAAAAGAGTTACGCGCCCTTGAATTTTGCGCCTTAAAAAAATCCTGGGGAGAACACTGAGTATATCTACAGAATACTTAATACTGTGGATTCATTATAATTCGTTGGATACCAATTTTCGTGGATTTCGTGGGTACAGATGAAGAACGAATTTAAACGTTCAACGAATTACAGATTTTCCATAAGGTTGTGTGTAGACTTTGGCAAAACCATGAAATTAAATGTCCACGAAATTACAAGTTTTCATCAATCCACGAAATTTGGTACCCACGAAAGTAAATGAATCCACAATATATTACATTACGAAATCATGAAAATTATACAAATTATGTCATTACTAACAAAACCATGAGAATATGTCAAAATTTATATGTTTATAATTGCTTACATCCACTTCATTTGAACTTGGGTGGATAGTTGTCTCATTGGCAACCATACCACATGTCCTTATTTTTCTATTAGAGGTTTTATGGCTAGCGTTATTATCATTTATTGTTGCAGGATGTTTATCAAGATTTTGCAGCCTCTGTTGTTCAAGTTATGGATACACCTTATGAAAAAAGGTATACTATAAAAAAATTTACAGTACTACAAGTCTGTGGTCTCGTGGTACTAGAAGGAAATGGGGTACCTCATTTGATGATGAACAATATAAAAATTTGTGAAATTAATCTTCCAAATAAACATTTTCCCCTGTTTGTCATTAAAGGGGCATTAGCTGTCAAATTCATGTTCACCGATTTGACTGAAATTCTCATATTTGATTTATAACATACTAAAACGTAGATCCAAATTACAATAAGTCTGAAATTAACAATTAACAATGCATGTTGTAGATAATATATATCAGCATTTCGTGTGTATTTTAGTCTAGACGCCATCTAATTAACCATCGAGATGACCTCCGAAGACTGCCAACGATCACATAACCCAATATAAACATAAATATAAATAGATATATATAGTGACCTCGTGCAGTTGGACTTTTGTAGGTCTGTTTGATTTCATGTTATAGATTAAACAAATAATTTAATCATCGTTTTTACCTGTATAAGAATGATTTTTTATGGATAGAATCAGTCAACGAAATGGTTCACCTTTGTTTCACTTTCAATGTTGACATTCTTTTCCTTTTAATAGCTGAACACGACTAATATATGTGTAACCAATCTCTAGCTAATGGGTTAAATTGAAGGTCATATGAATACGGATTCAATGAGGTTGAATTATTCACTTGCAAGTGAATAATTCATCAGCGATGTTTCTTTGCTTATTTTGACAAAATTGAACCAAATTGGCTGCTAAAAGCAAATTATTATTTCATTATTTCACTTTTATTATTGATTTAACAAAAAAAATCATATTCTAATATTTTTCATATCTCATAGCTAATGCCCCTTTTTAACAGTAGTTAAAAAATGTGATGCGACGAATTATGATGAAACTTAAAATTTGCAAGTTACAGTAGCAAAAAATTCACATTTTTCATGAAATCATAATAATTAATCTCACATTTTTATTCAATGTTTAACAATCACAATAATAAATTCAGACAAAAATTTCTGAATTTACGGTTATAACTTCTCTAATAAATACAGGGGGCCTCAGTGGCCGAGTGGTCTAAGTAGTCCAACTACTGTATCACTAGCCAGTCAACACTGAGGTTGTGAGTTTTAATACCGCACAGGGCAGGTGCACTCAACTCCAATCTTAATTGACTTAGATTGTCAGTTTTCCTACCGAAGTTCGATGGTTCTCTCCAGTCACTCCAGCTTCCTCCACCAATAAAAACTAACCGCAACGAAATAGCACAATAGTGTTAAAAGTGGCTTAAAGACCAATCAATCAGTTAATCTAACAAATACAGGTAATTTCTTGATATATACAAAAATAAAAAAAATAAAACATTGATTTAAAATGGGAGATAACTATGATAATTCAATTTTACAATGAATCGTACTGTGAATTTGTTTAGTGACGATTCTTTTATTTTTGTAGTTCGTTGAAAGTCCACCTTTACTCACAAATAATAATACGCAAAGATTGTACTTCGTTGAAAGTCCACCTTTACTCACAAATAATAATACGCAAACATTGTACTTCGTTGAAAGTCTACCTTTACTCACAAATAATAATAAAGCCACAGTATTTTGTTATACACCAATAAAAATGAAACAGAAAATCAAAATACAAAAATCTAAAGAGCATTCAGAGGTCAACATTTTAGAGGTCAACATTTTGTCTGAAACAGGTGTCTTTTCAATATGTCAAGCTCTAAATCACTAAGAGTTCGGAAAAGTTGGGAATTAATTTTGCCAAGACTGCTGTGATTCATTATTTTCGTGGGATACAAACTTTGTGGATTCCACGGGTAAAGGTGAACTATGAACTTAAATGCAAAATGAAGTACAAATTTTCTGTAGGCCTTGGGCTGTTTTCTGCTCTTTGGTCGGGTTGTTGTCTCTTTGACACATTCCCTGTTTCCATTCTCAATTTTATTGTATGTAAATGTTGACACAACCATGAAATTAAATATTCAGTAAAATACAAAATTTTCTCAATCCTAGAAATTTGGTTCCCCTGAAAATAAATAAATCCACTGTACCAAAGATCGGTCATCAACACCAAAATTCCCAAATTAAAGGGGGGGGGGGGGGAGATATGGCAATAGACAACCACTACTGACAAGGCTCCTGACATAGGACAGATAATTCACATTTTTATGCCCACTGCCGACATTGGAGGGGGCATTAAGTGTAACCCTTGTCGTTCATCCATCCATCCGTCAATCAGTCCTTCCGTACATCCCTATATTGGTTTCCAATCTCTAACTTTAGTTTGCCTCAACCAAATGTTTTGAAACATAAACACAATGCTTATTACCACAAAACACAGATCAAGTTTGAATTTGGGTGGCGTCACTTTTACTGTTCTTGAGTTATGTCCCTTTATAACATTATATGCAAGTGGGGGCATCATCTGTGTCCCATGGACACATTAACCATTTATTTATAGTATTCATTGTATTTCAGTTCAGCAGACACCATGCCAAATATACATTATGAATTCCCAAATGGTTATAATCAAGATTTTGGATATGAAAAATATAAAGTTTGTGAGGGTTTGTTTGATCCCTCAATAATAAAGGTAAGTAACTCTTACTATAAAAGTCTGCTTGTGGCAAGGTGTGTTTGACATCCAATCTCAATTGACTAGGATTGAAAGTTTTCTGTGGTTCACTCCAGGGACTCTGACCTCCTCCACCATAAAAGAAATTGCTGTAATGATATATTCAAGAGTGATGAAAGTGGTGTTAAACACTAACAATCAATCAACCATGAAAAATCACATGATCACTATGAAGACAATGATGCATGTACCACAGAACTGTTTTAACTAGGAGAATCTGGGGCTCTTCTTGGCAGGTTGCAGAAATAAACTGATTGCAGTATAACATCAGTACTTGTCCAATCAAATTTGTCAACAGTTATAGTATAAAACATTTAATATTAATTTTTTTATCTTTGTCAATAAAATACTATAAATGTCTGTGGTCCAATAATACTTTTATATTTTTTTGACAGGATTTACCAAGTGGGAATACGATGTTAAGTGTTGGACATGTAGTAACAACTAGTGTAGGAATGTGTGATATTGACATTCGACCTGTAAGTATTAACCTTTGAACTGTAAATTAGAATTATTGACATTCAACCTGTAAGTATTAACCTTTGAACTGTAAATTTGAATTATTGACATTTGACCTGTAAATATTAACCTTTGAACTGTAAATTAGAATAATGATATTCGACCTGTTAGTATTAACCTTTGAACTGTAAATTAGAACTATTGACTTTCAACCTGTAGTATGAACCTTTGAACTGTAAATCAGAATTATTGACCTTCGACCTGTAAGTATTAACCTTTGAACTGTAAATAAGATTTATTGACATTCGACCTGTAAGTATTAATCTTTGAACTGTGAAAAGGGAAGACTTCAGAATTACAGCAGGTTAAATATTTATAGAATATTTTTATGTTATCTGTTTTTGATTTTATGCATGTGGTCAATGGATGTTAAAAAAATCATTAAAATATCAAAACCCATAATGAAAGTTTTAACATTGATGTTCCATAACCAGCCAGTAGTGCATATGTAACTAAATACAGAAAACTTTTAATAGAGTTGTCTATAATGCTGACTTTGATAGATTTAATATCGAATAAATATTGAGTTATCCAGAATTATACTCCGTGAGTATTACACAGTAGAGATTTATTGTTTCCTAAATATCTTTTTATAAAAAAAATTGTGATGTAAAGCAATATTACAAGAATGAACAGATTTATTTCCCATTCAATTTTTAAAAAATATGTTGATGGATTAAAAAAAACATGAAACAATCAAATTTAAAGAAATATTACAAGATATAAACAGAGTTATCTCCCTTTTAAATGGAAAAAAAAATATCTCCCTTTTTGAGTGTTTTGGTACAAATTATTGTAAAATCTTAGCAGAGTTATTATTTGTTTTTCAGAGTTTATACAGTAGTGTTATAGTGACTGGAGGGAACACATTATTACAGGGATTTACTGATAGATTAAACAGAGATTTAAGTACTAAGACACCTCCGGTAAGTAATTTTGTTTTTACTGTTTTATAGATTTCATATTAAACTATAAAATCTCTGTGAATCCACTAATTCATATAGTGGGACTGCTGCAACAATTTTTATTTTATGAAGATTACTGAAATTTATTGGGCATCACAACCTTTAATGTTGAACATTTAAATTTTTAGTTTATCTATACCCACAAAATAGTAGAAGAAATCAAACACGTTGAAATATCTACTTTCGTTTCATAGAACATTTAATTAAAATAATATCAAAGATTGAAGATATTTGAATAGATATATATACACACAAATAAACCTTAAATCATAAGTCATTTTAATCTGAGTGGCACACAAATTACTTTTGAAACTTTAATACCTTGGTAGAATACGATAGATAAATTTTTAAATCCAACGGAAAGTAACATGTGTAGGGGTTTATAAATAAATTACTGTAAATAACAAACCGTAAACGGAGAAAACAGATATCCACAAAATAAATGTAAAAATGCAAATATAAATAACTCTAACAAAGAAGACTACACAATTTCGTCAAGTCAATACCCTGGTTCATTTGACAATTAACACATAGGGATAAACCTATATCATGTATATAGAATAGTTGTACTTGTTAAAAATTTACAAGACCATTTATTGGGGTTACTGACTCTAGTCCTTTAAGAATTACCCTCAGCAAGAATAACTTGGTTCTCTACAACAAAATGGAGTGAACAAATTTATATGGTTACCACTTTGCCCATTGTTTGAACTGACTGACAATGAAAGTTTAGATTATTATAATATTCAAATAATGCAGACTTCAAAATATATTGGGCCTACCACCGTAGACCTAATTTCAGTTCCTTTTTATATGCCCGTTTACGGGACATATTATGGTATACCGTTGACCGTCTGTCCGTCCGTCCGTCTTCAACATGTCGGACATTTACTAAAAAACTCTTTACCCAATTTGCATAAAACTTTGGTGAATTGTATATATCTATTGACAAAAGCTCCCTTTCGTTTTTTAAATTTTAGATTTTACATTTCAGAGAAATGGGGTTTTATTCATTATAAAAAGGGGGGGTTTCCAATTTTCGGACAATAACTAAAAAATGCTTTCTCCAATTTGCAAGAAACTTTGGTCAATTGTTTTTATCTATTGACATAAGCTCCCTATCAATTTTTGTAAATTTTAGATTTTATGTTTTCGAGTTATGGGGTTTTATTCATTAAAAAAAGGGGGATTTTCCAGTTTTCGGACAAGAACTCAAAAATGCTTTCAGCAGTTCTCATGAAACCTTGGTGAATTGTTTATATCTATTGATGTAAGCTCCCTTTTGATTTTTATAAATTTTAGATTTTACGTTTCTGAGTTATGGGGTTTTATTCATTAAAAAAAGGGGGATTTTTCAGTTTTCGGAAAATAAGTATAAAATGCTTTCAGCAGTTCTCATGAAACTTTGGTGAATTGTTTATATCTATTGATGTAAGCTGCCTTTTGATTTTTATAAATTTTTAGATTTTATGTTTTCGAGTTATGGGGTTTTATTCATTAAAAAAAGGGAGATTTTCCAGTTTTTTGACAATACCTTTAAAGTGCTTTGAGCAGTTTTCATTAAACTTTCGTGCGTGGTTTATATCTATTAAGATAACCTCCCTTTATTTGTTTATAGTCTGACAACAGATTTACTAAGTATTGCGCAACAGCACATTATATTGCACAACAGCAAGAAATCTTTAATTGAATATAAATTCAATTCATATAACCAATTTCAAGTTCTACATTTATTCTATTCTATTCTAACCTATAATATGTCAAATATTTAATTACAATCCAAATTCAGACCTGTATCAAGCTTGAATATTGTGTCCATTTTTGCCACAACTGTTCAGGGTTGGACCTCTGCGGGCGTATCCAGCTGCACTCAGCGAAGCAGTTTATTATGAATGAGTTATGCCTATTGACACAAGGTCAATTGGTGTAAATGATGTCTTTGAACAATCAGCTCTTAATTTGACACAATACCTTAATATAAAGATAAGGATATAAGGTATGATTGCCAATGAGACAATTATCCACAAAATTTCAAATGAAGTGGATGTAAGCAGTTATAGGCAACCTTATGCTTAAGCATTGTGACATTTGAAATTTACAGGAAAATTCTCAAAATGTGAAAGTTGTTCATCACTATTGACTTGGCTTCTGTTTTAAATTTCAAATTTAAGCATGCAACTATGGAAATATATGACCTGACATTTGAGGGTTTCAGAAAAATTAAATCGCATAAATACTTATACATGTTTTTACCAATTTAGCAAAGATTTTTACTATATTAACTAGACAATAAGTTGATTAAAAGGATATTATGACTGTTTCAATTTACTCAGTTCTACTTCATTGGTGGTACAAAAATGTATAATATGTAGAGTTTTATGAAAAAAAGCCTCCATATGTTTTTTTAACAATAAAAAACATTTTGTATTTCTCATCCCCTTTTAAGCTCACCTGGCTCACCCCGCCTGCAAACCAAGATGGCTGACATGGCTAAAAATAGAACATAGGGGTAAAATGCAAGTTTTGCCTATTATTTTGAAAACCGCTATAAGTAGAGAAATTCACACACAAGCAAAAATGTTCAGAAAGATGAGCTCTAACTATTGTCCATTTATGTCAAAACTGTCAGATGACTTCTTATAGGAGTTATTGTCCTTAAATGTCCAATTTTACCATTTAAACAATTTTTTCCCCTATAAACACGAAAATTATAATTAATAGACAGAATATATAAATAGCAAAAATGATCAGCAAGACAAGATCTCCAAATAAGTCAACAAGACCAAAATCGTCAGACGACTTCTTAATAGAGTTATTGCCCTTTAATGACAATTTTTATCAGATTTTTGCTTTTTTGCCATATATCTTGAAAACTGTAGTAGATAGATAACAACTTTAAAAAGCACAAATGATCAGCAAGATAAGATCTACAAATAAGTCACCATGGTTGAAATCTTCAGTGATTGGAGTTATTGCCCTTTAATAATAATTTTTTGCATTTTTTGCCTACTACCGGTATCTTGAAAACTATATTAGATGGATAGAAACTTTAGAAGGAAAAATTGTCAGCAGGATTAGATCTACAAATATGTCAACATGACTGAAATTGTCAGTTAACTCGTGATAGAGTTGTTCCAATTTAATGATGATTTTCACTAAAAAGTGGCCATAGTTGAAGATGCAGGTGAGTGACACAGGCTCTTTTGAGCCTCTAGTTAATGTCTGTGAAACAGAGAATTTATTTTTATGTCATAATCTTGTGAAAAGAGATGACATTTTATTTCTTGAAATAACAGTGTTAAGAAAAGAAGAGGAAAGGCATGGTTACATTAATTAACATTTAATTAAGATGAAGACTGATGTTTCAATTTTCAATGAAACAGTTCTTTTTGAAAAAAAAAAACACTTTGTAGCTTTATTTTTATTACATATTTAGTGTATTACAAAAAGTGAAATCTGACAATCAGCAATTTTATCTTTCTTCATTTCAAATGTCAATTTTAGGTAACAAGTGCTATTCCCATTAAAGTGTATGTGGGAGGGTACCAGAAGGGAAGTTTTTGTCTCGCCTTGACGGAGTCAAAAAGCGAGACATAGGTATGCTGTTTCCAGCGGCGGCGGCGTCAACAATGTATTAGTTTGTGATTAGGTCTAGTTTATGGTGAACCACTAGTGGTAGGTCAATGATATTTGGTATGCAGTTGTATAAGCATTGGCATATCTCATTTCCATGGAGATTTTTTGGCCACACCCCCTCTGTCATGGTCTATTGACTTTGACATTTTTGCTTAGTTTTCATGTATTAGTTTGTGATTAGGTCAGTTTCTGGTGAACCACTAGTGGTAGGTAAATGATATTTTGTATACATTTGTATAAGCATTGGATTATCTCATTTCCATGGAGATTATTTGGCCACGCCCCCTCTGTCATGGTCTATTGACTTAAATTTTTGCTTAGTTTTCATGTATTAGTTTGTGATTAGATCAGTTTAAGGGGAACTGTTAGTGGTAGGTCAATGATAATTGGTATGCAGTTGTATAATCATCAGCAGATCTCATTTCCATGGAGTATATTTGGTCCTTACCCCTCAGTCAAGGTCTATTGACTTTGAAAATTTTGCTTAGTTTACATGCATTAGTTTTTATACGCCCGTTTACGGGACGTATTATGGTATACCGTTGACTGTCTGTCCGTCTGTCTGTCCGTCCGTCTGTCGTCAACATGTCTGACATTAACTCAAAAACGCTTTAACCAATATGCATGAAACTTTGGTGAATTGTTTATATCTATTGACGTGAACTCCCTTTCGTTTTTTATAAATTTCGGATTTACCATTTCCAAGTTTTGGGGTTTTATTTATTAAAAAAGGGTTGATTTTCCAGTTTGTGGACAATAACTCAAAAACAATTTCACCAATTTGCAAGAAACTTTGGGGAATTGTTTATTTCTATCAACATGAGTTCCCTTTTGATTTTTGTCGAGCCTTCGACTTTAGTCGAAAAAGCGAGACATAGCGATCCTACATTCCGTCGGCGTCGTCGTTGTCGTAGGCGGCGTCCACAAATATTCACTCTGTGGTTAAAGTTTTTGGAAGTTTAATAACTTTCTTAAACTATCCTGGATTTCTACCAAACTTGGACAGAAGCTTGTTTATGATCATAAGATAGTATCCAGAAGTAAATTTTGTAAAAATAAAATTCCATTTTTTCCTTATTTTACTTTTAAATGGACTTAGATTTTCTGCTGGGAAACAACACATTCACTCTGTGGTTAAAGTTTTTAAAATTTTAATAACTTTCTTATACTGTTTTGAATTTGTACCAAACTTGGACAGAAGCTTGTTTATGATCAAAAGCTAGTATCTAGAAGGAAATTTTGTAAAAAAATAAATCCATTTTTTCCGTATTTTACTTTTAAATGAACTTAGATTTTCTGCCAGGAAACAACATATTCACTCTGTG